GTTTAAATGTTAAAAATTAAAACACAGCTATGTTCGAAAACTGTTAAAAAGATAGAACTGTTTTTCTATTCTATGCAATTTTTCCTGACGAGGGCCTCTGAAAGACGGCCGAAAAGGTTTGAACGTTAAAATATTTTTGTTGTTCATTTGCTGGAATTATCGCTTAGATGTGAAGTGGTTGTTTTAGTTTATATTTCCAGTTTGTGGGCCAGTTTTTTATGTCTGCTTAAAGATTATCTTTTTGTAAAATAGCAACTGCACACCGGGTTGAATGAAATAAATACGACTTACATGAACCTATAACCGATGCGTTTCCAATTAATCTATCATAGACGAACATTCTCATAACCCCTTCCGGGCTCTTCTTCAGGTGAAATAGCTGGATCGAACACCATAAAAAGGAAATTTGAATAAATCCAAACTCTGTTGAGTTTGAATCGTTCTTTTCGTTCGCTTGTTCCATCACGCGCTATGTTTGAAAGCGTTCGGAGCCAACGATCAATGTTCCAAGTCAAGAGAAAGATGTTATTATGATATTTAAAAACGTGCTTGTGCGATACATAATTATTTATTTAATGTTGTTCTCACACGTTCCCCTGTAGATTTTATTATATTTTAACACTTAGTAAATATTATTTCGTTGTTATTCTGTATGTAGTAGGTTTTGCCACGCCATGGATAGGCCGATTTCGTCCCTTGAATTAATACAAGTGGATGTGTCGTATGCCCTAAAAATTTCCATCTCTTCCAGCCATTTTAGGTGGTGAATGTGGGGTGTGGTGACAATTATCCGTGCTCTGTTGAAGTCCGTCACTATTTCGGGATCAGTGGCATAGGTGATAGTGATGTGGTGTGTCTGTTGTGCCAAATATCCGAGATGTGCTCTTTTATCCTAACCCCTAACGATCGTTTAGTCGATCCTACATATCTCAGATATTCGGCACAACAGACACACCACATCACTATCACCTATGCCACTGATCCCGAAATAGTGACGGACTTCAACAGAGCGCGGATAATTGTCACCACACCCCACATTCACCACCTAAAATGGCTGGAAGAGATGGAAATTTTTAGGGCATACGACACATCCACTTGTATTAATTCAAGGGACGAAATCGGCCTATCCATGGCGTGGCAAAACCTACTACATACAGAATAACAACGAAATAATATTTACTAAGTGTTAAAATATAATAAAATCTACAGGGGAACGTGTGAGAACAACATTAAATAAATAATTATGTATCGCACAAGCACGTTTTTAAATATCATAATAACATCTTTCTCTTGACTTGGAACATTGATCGTTGGCTCCGAACGCTTTCAAACATAGCGCGTGATGGAACAAGCAAACGAAAAGAACGATTCAAACTCAACAGAGTTTGGATTTATTCAAATTTCCTTTTTATGGTGTTCGATCCAGCTATTTCACCTGAAGAAGAGCCCGGAAGGGGTTATGAGAATGTTCGTCTATGATAGATTAATTGGATACGCATCGGTTATAGGTTCATGTAAGTCGTATTTATTTCATTCAACCCGGTGTGCAGTTGCTATTTTACAAAAAGATAATCTTTAAGCAGACATAAAAAACTGGCCCACAAACTGGAAATATAAACTAAAACAACCACTTCACACCTAAGCGATAATTCCAGCAAACGAACAATAAAAAAAGTTTAATGTTTAAACGTTTTCGGCCGTCTTTCAGAGGCCCTTGTCAGGAAAAATTGCATAGAACAGAAAAAACAGCTCTATCTTTAACAGTTTTCGAACATAGCTGTGTTCTAATTTTTAACATTTAATGTTTGAAAACTGTTAAAGATAGAGCTGTTTTTTCTGTTCTATGCAATTTTTCCTGACGAGGGCCTCTGAAAGACGGCCGAAAACGTTTAAACATTAAACCTTTTTTATTGTTCGTTTGCTGGAATTATCGCTTAGGTGTGAAGTGGTTGTTTTAGTTTATATTTCCAGTTTGTGTGTCAGTTTTTTATGCCAAATGTCATAACATATTGTTCTATTACTATATATGCAAAATGGTATATGACATATAATGAAATATTGAATCTTTACATGATCATAATTATCTCATTTTGACTCATATGTAAAATAATATTTGATTTCATATAAGATAATGAATTGTTATCTATATCAGAGATCTTTTATCATATGATTCATAATATAGTTATGATATGATTCATAAATAGTTTAAAGCAGTGTTTTTCAACCTGTGGGTTGCGACCCCCAGGGGGGTCGCGAAGCCTTACAGGGGGGTCACGGGTAGAAGTGTTTGAAGACAAGTGTTTGAAGGTCCTACACTACATAAAAAAAAAACTACAATTTCAGCGAGAATTACGGCCCACCCCAGAAAATGATAGCGGAAAAAGTGTTGAGCTGATTTGCAAAAAGAAATAAAAAGTAGAAAAAAAGAAGCTGAAAATTCAAATAATAATAAAAAAAAAGGTCAACAGTTCCCTGTGCCTAATGTTATAATTAAAGGAAGTTTCATACTTTATGTGTGTTAAATTATTGTCGATTCTTTTGAAATTTTCATTTTAATAAACAATAATTTGTCTCAACAGAAAGAATATTAAATACATAGTTTTTAAAATCACTGATATAGTTTTAATATGGCCCTAGGGGGGTCTCCAGAATTTTTTAATTTGTAAAGGGGTCGCGTATTCAAGAAGGTTGAAAAACACTGGTTTAAAGTAAATACAGTAGAAGTTTGTGATTCCAGTATCTGATAATCTGGTATCCTCTGAAAAATAGCCAATAAAATAAAATTGTCTTTCAATAAACTAAAATTGTCTTTTAATTCACTGTGAGGACTTTAGCATGCCAGATTAAGAGCAGACATGAGCCATCCTGAGCTGGAAGGGTTTATGTTAGATGAAAGGGATGGAAGGAAACATGCAAGAATTGACACATGGATCACAGTAATAAAATCTGTAAAAAAAGTAAAAAGTAAAAGAATAAAATTATTTATGATAAAGATACTATAAAAACATTTTAAAAAATGTAAAAACAAACAGCTGAAAAAGATCATATTCATGTGTCAAATCCCACATGTCTCCTTCCATCCCTTTCAACATTCACAATACAGTATTTGTAGTTGTGAATGTTGAATTTGTGAAATTGTTATTAAGATATAGACTCTTCCAGCTCAGGATTCTTCGAGTTTACTCTTACTGCATGGTCTATAGTACTCCACAAATTGGAATTTATTTGGACATGATGTCAAAAATTCAGCAAAGCTCAGCTATTTAGAAATATCAAGCTAAGCTGAGGTTTTGACAAGTGAGCTGTGAATTTGGACCAGAGCTGAGCTTGGGTGTATTGCAACAAATGCCAGTTTTGAAATTAAATTGCATCTGTAATAATAACAGATACACAGTATGTTGGATATGTTTTTATTTATCTGTTAATAAAATGAGGGCATTTAAGTAAACGCTACTTGAGCAGTAAACAATTGAACTATAAACAATTTTTAGATTAAGAGAAAGTAATAAAAGGTAACATTTTAAAACAATCATTTCTAGCAAAATCAGGTACATACAGTCCCAATAACTCAAAGTGGACAGGACTGATACTACCTCATATTACAAAAAAAACTTAGAATGTGACTAGAGTTGATCTGTGAGCTTCAATTCTGTACTCTAGCTCAGCTAGAGTATAGAATTGAAGCTCAACCATCAAAATCCTGAGATGTTGCTCAGCTTATTTAGTAGAATTCTAGTCACAGTGCACCTAAAAACATTGTAAAATCATACATATAAAGTACAAGTCTGAAAAATAAATACAGTAGAGCGTCGATTTTCCGAAAGTCAATCATCCGAAAGACTTCCAGTCGGCAAATTTAAATTTTCGCCAGTGCTGTGGCGCTTCAATCTTTGGCTATGTCTCGGGCTACTCAAATATTTTACATCTGACAGTAAATTAACATCTGAAGTAAAATTTTTTATTGTTTTTATATTTTTCAATATATTAATTTTGTCTGTACAAAATAAAAAAATACTTTTTAACGATACAATAGTTTTTGTTAGGCTTAACATCGACGAAAATTCAACGCGAAGCGACACGCAACGGATAAAAATTTCGACATCGGATATGTTAAACTATTCTTTCGTACGTAAATCAGTTATCCGAAATATCAGTTATCCGGACAACCCCAGTCCCCAATTGATTCGGAAAATCGACGCTCTACTGTATTACATTAATATGCAGCTAAATATGTGTATACAAATACAGTATGTGAATACAGTATTTGTATTGTGAATGTTGAATTTGTGAAATTAAGTTATTCATTAATCCTTTGTACTATCTACAGACCAATTAAAAAGTGTTTGTAAACAAATCAAAAGCATATGTCTGTGTATTGGTATAAAATGTACAACTTCTGTAAAATTCAGATCACATATAACTTATTGAATTTCAAAAAGAAAACAAAGTCCAGTAATACAACACCACTCAGGTTTCACAGTATAGGATTAATGAACTTCTATTGAATATCAAATCTAAATATTTTATATTAAAATAGCTTAAACAATATATATATAAAAATAATGTAATATAAAATACATACTATGATAAATTTAAATACAAACACTAAAACTGCTTTAAAATAATGCTGTGAATATTGTTATCTACTCTTATAAAAGTGAGATTTATAAAATTTGGATATTATTATATTTTCTCCTTGATCAAATTTTAAAAAATATTGTGGTATTTAAATCCTTATTCTTGAACAGTAAGATAAAAAATTATAGAATACAGAACAAAAATATTGTTATTTAGATGTTATCAGTATCAAAGTAAAATACTGTAGAAAACAAGTTTGATTTCTGACAGTAAACAATACAACTGGTGTTTTTATATAGCCAACAAATAAATATTTTTATTTTTGGGAGAGTGTATTTCTATTAATAACACAAGATTTTAATAAACCTTATTTTGTGCACATCTAATAATAATAATAATAATCTGAAATATTGTCATTGGATTTTAATTTTGTATCTATTATAAATAACTGACAAAGGTAAGATCTTGCATGGCTTTACTTCAGATATGATCTCATCCCTTACCACCATCTATCTACTCTCTTCCTTGATAAAGTTCAGAAATTTGATTAAATTTGTTAAAATTTGATTTATTCAAATTATGAAGACTCAAATTTTTATTTAAATTAAATATCTGTTATATTAAAATAATACAGTACTATTATTTTGTAAGTTATGTTATATTAAATTAACTAAGAATTTAAAATTATTTAAATTCTATTTTTAAATTTGTTTTTAATATTTCTTAGCCTCTTATTCTAAAATCGTTACCTGAACCTTATTCCACTGAAATTGCTTCCATAGCTAAAATCTCTAAAATTCCTATAGGTATTTATTTTTTGTTTTTAAGCATGATTTTACTTTATATATTTATCAATCAATATTACATTTCAGGGGAAATAATTTTATACAATATATTCTACGAGATTTTTACATTTTGTACTTCTGTTATTGTCCAAGATATAGAAGGTAAATTAAAATATATTAATTGTTTATTATTATTAAGCATGACAGTTCAAAATGGACTTTGTAACTTTCAAAAAATCTAGGAGTCTGATCAGAAGACTTACAGAATCAGTAGATCACATGAAGTTTTAACTTAAACAGTCATTTTGGTTTGATGTGAGCAGCATTAGTGATATGATTCTACTCTTTCTTTTAAATCTCACTGAGCTCAAAACTTGAATCAGTGTTGCAGTTACTGAGGTGACAATAGATATGTTGTTTCAAGTTGAATTCAGTTTTTCATTGACAATATCATCAATGCTACATCAAACCAAAATGGCTGTTTGAGCTAAAACTATGTATTTTGTTAAAAATTAAAGGTTCTACTGATTATGTAAGTCTTCTGATTAAATTCTATATTTTTTTAAAGTTGTAAAGTCCTTATTGAATCACCCTGTACTTTAATTTTCTTAGCTAAAAATTAAATTTATTTTGTAATTTACTGAAGTAATTAATTACAAAATTTAAACTATTGTTTTATTATAACATAAAAATTCAGAATTAATAACATAGAGCAAAATATCATATATTAAGTCAAATTAATAGGAGTTGGAAATCATGATTTTTTCATATTGTACTGAAAATATCTTAAAAGCACCAGATATTTCACCAATTAGTAATCAATCACTAATTTTTCAATACCTTGTTGCAAATAATTTTGCATATTTTAGGCTTCTTGTCATATTTTTTTGCATAAATATTCATAATTTTCAAATAAAACTGGTATATGACACTTGATATGCACTGTTAAAGAATGAAAGTAATGGTGACCAGAGATATGAAACAGATTGTAATAACTACTTAACAATTTTCATGAACTGTGTTTAAAACACAATTTAAACTGTTAGATGATCCATATATAAGCCAGATATGGTTCATCACTTGTGACAAACTGATTAATGTAAGAAGGCAAAATCAAGCAACATATCATCACTCATCAAAAAAACAACAAGAGAAACTCAAACAATGAAACAATAATGTGGCACCAAGAATACAGCAGATTATTAATAACTGTTTAACTAAGACTGGAAGCTTTTGTAACAATGGACATACCACCTTACAAAATTGACAATCCAAAAATGAGGGAATTTCTTAAGAAATGGATGAAACATAATCCACCAAATTGACAACACTGCAAAAAATATCTTTTCAAATAGAATCTTGCATTATAAACAACTTGAAAAGATAAACTTATTTGGTTGATGGAGGATGAAACAATCACCAAAAGTGAATAATAATTAATGTTTTAGCTGGAAATGAGTGTGCTGAGTTAAAAAAAAACGAAGACTTTTCTAATGTACAGCATATATATTTTTAATCTAAAAGTGTGTTCTTTTAGATTAAAAATATATATGCTGTGCATTTTAGAAGCAATTATTCAAGCCCTCAAATAATTTATAGTAAAAGCATTACATTCAAAAGTATTTTATTGTTTATCAGTAATAGCCACAAATAGGAAATTGTTGGAAAGATACTTAAAGGTTTAAAGCTTATTCATATAACTTGCTTGGCTCCTGGTCTTAATGTGATTGTTTAAAACAGGGATGTCCAACTCGCACCCCACATTGCGGCCCACTGCACCCTAAATTTTTTAGGTATATATTTTCATATATTTTGGTAATGTCGTAAAACTTATTCTCATTTCACTGAATACACTTTGATGTCATAATGACATAATTGGTATTAGACTGTTTTATCTAGACAACTGTTATGCATGTGGGGTAATACATACTGTTGTGAATAATTCTTTTCATGCATTAAAAACATCAAAACTGCTGAAAGAAATAGTTAAATGGGAATCACTCAACCTAACATTCTTAGAATTAAGACTAGTATCATAAAAGCAGATAATGACAATATTATAAAAGGAAGGTAATGTCAAAAATCGTATTGAATTTATTTTTATTTTGTGTGAGTATAATTTCTTTTTTTACTGTCAATAAAATTTAGTTAATATAAGGCTGTTTATCTCAACAATAGAGAAAGGGTTTGAACTGAAAATTTACAATTATTCACAAAAGCTGGATGAATCATTCATATAATAACTTATGGATACAAATTCACTGAGTTCAGCATTAATAAAGTTCCTTTAGTATTAACACAAGCACTTTCGACGAATGTATAATCTTGTTTTAGTTATTTGTCGAAACCGTGTCTTCTTTTTCTTGTTTCTTCTAATTCTATGTCACGAATTAAAAGTAGGTGTATGAATTAAATTCGGTGTACGAATTCTGTACGAATTAAAAGTAGGTGATGGAATTATTTGCCAAGTGTCGATAAATGCACCAAGTCGTGACATAGAATTAGAAGAATGTATAATCGTCGTCTTCAGGTGAAAAGAACAAATTTTAACAAGACAAACATGCAGGATGTTCCAAAGGAACAAAATATTTAAATTCAAACAGGCGTCCGGAAATTCTGTTAAGAACGTGCAAATAATTTTTGATATGTTCGAATTTTTATATTTTACGATGTTAGCGGCGCATGCATGGAAATGCTACTGCATTGGCGATACGATGTTAGGTGTGTTTTGCTTTGTAGGCGCCGATATAAGGCAATCTACACCCCGGGTAGATCGAGAGTGGGAACATTGCATGCTTCTGAAGTAGCCGTGAGAAGTGCTTCCCAGATAAACACAAGCCTTCGATTGTTGCAGCATTTAATTATTTCCGTTCTGGGCCATAACGGGTTGTAGCCTTGCTCGAGAACTTTTTTAGTGAGCTCAGTAGAACATGCGCCGCTAACATCGTAAAATATAAAAATTCGAACATATCAAAAATTATTTGCACATTCTTAACGGAATTTCCGGATGCCTGTTTGAATTTAAATATTTTGTTCCTTTGGAACATCCTGCACGTTTGTCTAGTTAAAATTTGTTCTTTTTACCTGAAGACGACGATTATACATTCATCGAAAGTGCTTGTGTTAATACTAAAGGAACTTTATTAACGCTGAACTCAGTGAATTTGTATCCATAAGTTATACAAACATTGGCGTGAGTTTTTAAATTTATTTTTTATTCATATACATATATAAGCAAACTTTAATTTAACAACAGTACACTTTAATTCAACTTTGACAAATGTTTTTCATCTAATGATAGATCTAAGCGAATTTGATCTATAGGAAATCAGTTTTAAGCAATATAGACCTGAAGCATTAGATTGAAAATGTTTATGAAAGTTGAATTAAAGTGTGCTGGTGTTAAAATTTATGTTTGTGTGCATATAACTGAAAATTTGTATCATTATGTTGTAATTTATTGGACTGCAATTTGAAAAAATTGTAGACCTATAAATTTCCACTGTTATCTGTCTGTCTTTCCTTAATCTCAAGAACGGAGTTAGATAGATGGAAGATGAAACCAGATAGGGAAACCTTAGGGAGAGGAGGATCTGATTAATTATCAATATATAAGAACTTCCAATGCAAACCAGAAGTCAAGTTATTTAATTCAATTCAAAAATTTTCCATGAAAGGTGTTAGATAGATGACTGGCATATTCTATTGTTAAAGGAAAAGTATGATATACAGAAAGAGCCACTACTAATTTGAGGTGGAGAGAACATATTTAAATTAAATTAATTAAAAATTGTGACGATGTCACAATAAATAATTGCTTGTTATAATTTACAAACCATTTGTGATGAAACTATTGCTTGATTTAAAATGCTTAAAAAGTTATAATAAATCATTTTTAAATGTGTATGGTTTGGGATATTTTGGTTTTTTAAAGTGAATATTATTCACATATTTTAACTTAATTTTGTGTCAAATTTTCCAGTCCCTAATAATTAATAATTATGTAACATTGCAAACATTAAAACTATTTTCATTCTTTGGCTAAAATCTATTTAAATTTATTTTTAAACTATATATTTAATTTGTATATTTTTTCTAGGAAATTTATATCATGGAAGAAATTTAGATTTTGGTATTTTTATGGGGTAAGAATGGTTTCAATATTAATATTAAAAATTTATCGACTTCTAATTCAATTATACAGTTTTTATGTCTAATGTAATTGATTTAATATAAAAAATAATTACAAAATTAAAAAGAATCCATAATTAATAAATTTCTGGAATAATCTGATTGATAAATTACAATTGGTCAAAAATTAAAAAACAATATTTTATAGTTGGGATGCTAAGAATCATACCTGGTTAATAACTGAAGCTCTTCAACAGACTTTAGCACAGTTGGAATTCTATAAAGGAAATAAATTACTTTACAAATCTGTAGGATTTGCAGGTTATGTTGGAGTAATTACAGCAATAAAACCAGTAAGTACAAAAACAAAAATAAATTTAATTAGGAATTATTAGTAAATTTCTTTTTCTTTTTCCAGAAACATTTTACTCTTACTGTCAATGAACGCTTTAAACTAAATGGAGGTTACATAGGTAAAATATATTGATTTTAAATATTGCATTACAGTATTTATATATCTTATTAATAACAACATTTTTCAAAAGGTATTATAGAGTGGATTCTAGGTTTTCATTCTAGTCATTGGATGGGATTTCTAACTCGAGATGTAATGGAAAAGTCTCCTAATTATACAACTGCAAAGCATATTTTAGCAAGAACAGAACTAATTGCTCCTGTTTATTTTATTTTGGGTGGAAATAAAAAAGGCGAGGTATGCACATAAATCTTTCAATAATCAAATTTTTTCTGTTTATTGATGTTTAAAATTCTTCTTTTTTATTCATATATATCCATCTAGGCTTGTATAATAACCAGAGATAGAGGTACAAATAAAGCAGATATATTAACTATGGGAAATGGGTGGTATGTGCTTCAAACAAATTATGATCACTGGAAAAATCCTCCATTCTTTGATGATAGGAGGACTCCTGCAATAAAATGCCTTAATAAAATGACCCAAAAAGTAATTATTTTAAAAATGTTTTAAGCCAGTAAATTTCAACTTTGTAACATTACATTAACATGTAATTTCTTTCTTACAGAATGCCTCATTTGCTGGTATATTTAATGTTCTTTCTACTCAACCAAATTTAAATAAAGTAAGTTCATATTAATTCTTTTTGCCTCTGTGTCCTTACTTTTATTGATTTTTGATTATATCCTTGTATACTTTGGACTTTATTTATTAATAGGACTTATTACACTGGTGTAGTTTCTGTTTAGTAAATAGAGGAAATTTGCTAAATGGAAACTACACCAGTAATAACTAATAAGTCCTATTAATAAACAAAGTCCAATGTAGACAAGTACATAATCAAAAATCAAAGTTCATAGTATGTCAAATAATTAATAAGTATTATTTTAATAATTTAATGATGAAAGAATCATTGATCTTATATATTATTAACAGCTTACTGCATATACTTCATTAATGGAAGCAAGAACAGGAAAATTAGAAACATATTTGCAATATTGTGACGATCCATGTTGGCCTTGGTAGGACAAAGAAATTATAATTGTAATTTCAAAAAATGAAAATGAAAGTTGATTTCCCAAATATAGTAAACAATTATTATTACAGTATTATTAAGTTTAAAATAACTGATGTAAAAGTAAATTATTTATTAAATTAAATATTTAATAAATTTTTCTTCAAAATAAAGTCTTATTTCATATAAATACTACGTTTTTTCTAGTTTTATAATATTGTCATAAATACATTTAAAATATCATTATACATAATAATTGTATAAAATTTAATTTAAATATTGACAAAACATCAAATTTATTTGGATAAAGTACATCCAATTGGACACATTTATAAGGGCAAAGTACTGAACATCCAATTCTTGAATTTCATAAATCATCATGCAAATTTAAAATGTTTTAAAATTATTATGTACTAACAATTTAGTCTATGAATTTAAATTTGAATTAAACAAAGCTAAATATCTCTAAAAATATATTAGAAAAAATTTTCAGTTTTTAATATGCATCATATTAAAAAACTACTTTATTTATTTAAACATCATATGAATGGGTTTGACAGATTAATATAAAAATTTAAATTTACAGAATAATTTTAGAGGATGAATTTAAGTGGTCTAATCTTAATCAAACTTAATGTGACAAAGAGATCAAAGAACTTTCAAACAAAATTTTTAAAACTTTTTTAAATCATACGATATTAAAATTGCATTTACTTGCTTCTATTGAATGTAACATAAATAGTTTGACATAGTTTGGCAAAAAAATTATATATATATGCTAGATGAGTCTATTTCATTCAGTCCCTTTTTTTAAATAAATAGTTTGCACATAGAAATAATTTTGAAATAAATAATTCAGTATAAATTTAAATTAAGAAATAGAATTAATTTTATACAGTTGAATTTCATTGAGAAATTTCACTTCTTATTTCGTCATCTTTATATATATGAAGCAAGGCAATGATGTACTAATGCAGAAATGAAACAAACTAAAATATAGAAATCATGTTATGGACAGTGATGTCATTCAGATCAATCCACTAAACCAGGATGTTAAAAATATCCATTTGCCAAACTGATTATATTATATAAAATATTTTGCACAACAATGTTTTTTAATCTGTTTAAAATTAGCTATTGTCCTCATTTTTATGTATGTTAATTCATGTAAATAATAATCTGCAAATATTATCAATTATTTCTATGAATTTTATGGGCCCACCAATTGTTAAGCAGTTCAGTTCCCAAAACATTGGGAGTTTGGTCGTGGATTTGCTCTTTCCCAGGATGGGCTGGCCACGTGGAGTTCTCTGGGTTTTCTCCAGGTCTTTAAAATTGTAACGCCCAAATAGGGGCCAGTTATCCTTAGAAAGACCTCCCAGAAGGCATCCCCCTTAGGCAGATCGCCCAAGTGTTGTGTTGCTATAACTTAACAAACAACAATAAAATGAATCTTATGTTAGTGTCACAAAAATTAACCCATCAAAAAACCACACTGCTTCTGCTACCACAAGAAATCATTGTGGTACAGAGATCAAAACAAATAAACTGTAGTCTCTCCCCGAATAAGAATGGAGCCAATATTCATTATCTACATGTTCAAAAGAGGTTGGATTGATGCAAAAGTTTCTGGAATTTTCTAAACCTCTAGAATATTCAGAATTATTCTCAGACAGATGGCATCTAAAAGTTTCTTATGGAATGTGAAAATGTCATTCTATGAGGAGATACCAAGTTTTTAAATACAGTCAAACCTCGATTTTCAGGTAAGATTGCAGATGTGAACGACGCTGTAAGGACCTTAACACAGCTGTATAACATGCCCACAGGAGCAAATAAGTCAAAGGAACCATATCTCTAAATGTGGCTCCTTGCAAGATATAGCCTCCCGAAATTATCGTAAAGCCTACTTCCAGGCACTACAGGGAGTAGTCATGCTGCATGTTCTGCTGAGCCTGTATTGTGTTTAACAATCAGTATAGCACCGGTGATCAGACAGTTTAAAGATATTTAATGGCAAAGAATAAAGAAAACTCCAACAGCCGTTCCTTTACGAGATATTCTACTGCAAACAGTTTTTATCTTGAACTAGTACTACTGCCTATTCTCCATGCTCCGCATTGTACTGCACATGCTGGACCCATGCTCTGCATGGAGTGGTGCACTTCAGTGCTCGCTATCGCTCTCACCTTAACACCCAGTTAAGGGTGAGCCCCACATTTCCCCAAAACTATATAACATCAGTGGCATGCTGTGAAATTTGATGCTAGGGAAGCTGTGTTTCTGTAGGAAGCCAACTTCCAGGGGCAATCAGTTAATTGCACGTCAGTGATGGTCTAGGCCAGGGATGGCCAACAGTTTTTGCCCCAGGCCAAATTGGAAAGAGAACTTTTTTCACGGGCCAAACCAGAGGCTGCCCTAAAAAGATTTTGTGGTGATGCGAGATTTCTTTGTGGAGTCACTCCGTAGAGACTAAATTGTAAATAGAGATTACAGATACATTTTTCACATTATCATGTTTTATTAACATTCTACACTGTATTTAAGAGATTTATAATGGAGGGTTAACTCTAAACGCACAATGAGTTGTTGACTTTTTTTTTTTTAGGCGTCAGAATTTTTCATCAAGCAAATCGGACTAGAGTAGCTAATATTGAAAGATTAATCGCGGGCCTCATAAATTCATTAGACGCCACAGGCCGTATGTTGGCCATGCCTGGTCTAGGCCCTCTACAGTCCATTCATATTCGTTTGTTCAATAAGCTAGTAAAAACTGTAGACTTCTCTAAATCAGTGGTGTACCGTAGTGGGGGCGGCAGGGGCGGCAAAATTTCACAATAAATAATAATATTATCTTGTAAAAATTTGAAACATCCTAATCTATACTTGCATCGTGCCTACGATAGTGCTATCATCCGGACTGTCGGCTCGCCGTCCGGGTGAACTAATAATTTTTAATCTGAGGAAATCCTGCGAAACCTGTAGCCCCTTTTTTTGCCTTTACGATTCATTCGTGTTCATATACATCACTAATATTCAAAAGAACTATTTTAAACAGTTCGCTGCACTAGCACGGAATTTCATTGCTTGTTCTGTGACAAAACTGAATTTTGGTCTTTTAAATTGAAATACAGTGGTACTGTACCTCAGGATACGAAATTAATCAGTTCCGAAACTGAGATCGTATCATGAAAATGTCGTAAGGTGAATCATTTTTCTCCATACGATTACACGTAAAACCAAATAATTCGTTCCAACACGAAAAACACACTCAAAGCTAAGTAGTACATTGAAAAAATAATAATAACTATAGTAAGGAAAACACTGAAAAATGCGTTTTGTAATTGTAAATGTATAAATAACCATAATAGAATAATAATTGATTAACAAAAATGTAGTTTTATTTACACTTTACCTTTGAGGATAGACGACGGTGGAGGTGTAAACTGGTGGCGGAGGAGAAGGAGAAGGGAAATGATACTAAAACTTAACTTACATAACATAATGTAACAATAACTTAAAAATAATTTAACACTAATTTTTTAACTTTTCTGTTTTATATATTTTTTATTCACTGCTTTTTGCTTTCTTTCCTTCACTTCCACTGGAAAGAGGTCGCTTGGTAAAATATCTATCCAAAGAGGTTTGGCTTTGCCTACTTTTTAAAATGTTTCTAAAATGACTTAGGCAAATGTCATTAAACTGAGCAGTAATACGGCCAGTGTGAACCTTTTTGGGTGTTTCTTTTCAATAAAATCAGTCACTTTCTGATAATACCTCGAGATTTCCTTTATCGAGTGAGATCCTTCCACCACGAAGCAAACGCGCGGACTAAGACCGATGAACAGAAGTAAATAAAAAATGGCGCTGCGAACTAACGTAACGTCGTATGGTGAGTTTTTGTTCGTACCGTGGAGCAAAAATATGTTCGAATTTCGTGTCGTATCCTGAAAAGTTCGTATGCTGGGGCGTTCGTATCCTGAGGTACCACTGTACCTAAATAAGGGAGCGAAATTTTCCTCCGCTCCGGGCGGCTGACACCCACGGTACGCCACTGCTCTAAATGTATTTTTAATAGATTATCTGACGTACTGTATGTAATAAATAAACAAGTTCAATACAATTACCTCTGTTATTAGATTCAATAGATTCCTATGCCCTCTAAATGCCAATTCTTGCTTTGATAAAAAAAAAAAACAAATAGCATTTATTAATTTAGATATGATATATCTATTAGCAGTGGCGTGCGGTGACATTTGATGATAGGGAAGCTGTGTTTCTATAAGAAGCCGACATCCAGGGACAATCAGTTAATTCTTTCTTTAAATGTATTTTTAATAGATTATTTATCTGACGTACTTAATAAATAAACAAGTTCAATATAATTATCTCTGTTATTAGATCCAATATATTCCATATGCCCCCTAAATGCCAATTCTTGCTTTGATAAAAACATATAACATCTATTTATTTAGATCAGGGCTGTGGAGTCGCGTAAAAATCTACCGACTCCGACTCCGAGTTTTCCTTACCATCCGACTCCGACTCCGTTTCATATACATAACAAGTTGGTATGTAAAAGGGAGTCGGAGTCGGCGGATTTTTTGACGACTCCGACTCCGGTTAAAACACCAAAACTTCACGACTCCGACTCCACAGCCCTGATTTAGATATAATCAGGGCTGTGGAGTCGGAGTCGGAGTCGTCAAAAAATCCGCCGACTCCAACTCCTTTTTACTTACCAACTTGTTATGTATATAAAACGAAAAAGTATTGGAATCGTGTCAAATTTGACCCTCCAAGTTTTTTTTTTTTTTTTTTTTTGCAAATCTACACGTTTGGAGATCTCCCGAACCCCCAAAAAAGTCAATAAAGGTGAAAAATTCGCGCGAGTGTGTGTGTTGGCGTTTAATTTGTTTAATTTCTTTATTTTCTGTTCTGAGACATTAAACAATATCTCAGAATGTGTAAAGTTTAAGAAACGAAATGTGGCACTGTAGCTTGCATATAAAGGGGCATTAATACTATTAAATTTTGGTTCTTAATTAAAGGTCGACAGGATGAAGACATAAAAGGAGTCATGTGTCATATCTCTTAATGAATATTTTACTAGTTATTAGGGTTCAAAATT